TCATGCCTCTTGATTCAGGGATGTGTATGTAGAAGTCACCAATAATTCTTGAATAAAGAAATGAATTATAAAGTAGACTTTGGGCTCTAGATTAAAACTGGAGTTTGATATGAGTGTCATATAAAGGGAACCACAGTATTTAATAGCAAAAAGATGGAGTTCTCCCTAACATATCTGGCCTGGGTTTCCTAGGCACTGCTGCAGGCACCACACGTGCACACACAGATGCTATTACATAACATTTGGCTGCAAGCCGACTCCCTGGGAGATGACTTCATGGACCTGGATCCCCAGATGCCCTGCTGCATCTCCAGGTGGCAGCAGTGAATGGAAGCTTCTTTCCTTTGCTGTGTAGGCAGCAGCCAGGGTAGCAGAGAGTCTCCCTGGAGAAATGTGTAAGGTCAGGCTGACTCTAGGTCAGTTGAAAAGATGCTCAGCCAGACTTCAGAGAGGAGGTTTCTTTTTCCTTTCCCTCTTGTCATGGCACCACCCCAGACTCCTTTGGTTTTGCATAGGACCCAAAAGCTCAGTGATCTAAACGCTGTGTTACACTGTGCAATGTAGATATACTCATTACAGAGAACTCAGGTTCTCATTAACCCTCAGCTGTGCTGAGCAGGGGCCAGTTCCAAGGCCATTGCTTCTTATTTTGTGCTGTTATCTCCATTCTTGTGGTCTTGTGCATGCTGAGATCAGAGCTGGGTCCAGTGTGACTGACACACTCATGCCCTCTCAGCCCAATCTCCTTTCCATGACCTCAGCTCCCAAGGCTTCTGAAGTCAACAGAGAGGTAATGCTCTCCTTGTCTCCCTTCCACCTTGCCCATGCAAGCTTCTTCCAGCTGCCTTTGCAGTGGCATGTTCCTGTGCCTTTCTTTTCCAAAAAAGTGAGGCTACAACAACCGGGCTACCACCAGCATGTCCTCACCTGTCAAGTCCTGGCATTGACAGGACCTTGATGTGACTGTAACATGAATAGACAGGTGGCATCTAATATTGTAATTTGAATGTGAAATGTCCCCTGTAGGCTCTTCTGTTTGAACTCTTTGTCTTTAGCTGTCTGGGAAAGTTGTGGAATCTGTAGGAGACTAAGCCTCACTAGAAAAAATGGGTCATTGGAGGTAGATGCTGAGGCTTTAGAGACCAGCCCTGCCTTCTCTTAACTCTTGCTTCCTGAGTATGGTTACAGTGTGACCAGCAGATATGCTCTTGCTGCTCTGACTTCTCTGCCTGCAGCTGTGCCTTCCCCACTGTGATGGAATGATCCCCCTCAAACTGTAAGGAAGAATCAGTCCGAACTCCCTTATGTTGCTTTCGCTGAGGCATTTTATCACAGGTGCATGGAAAGTAACTAAGACAAATATCAGAAGGATTGAGTCCATCCCACCACATCTGGGTCTGGGTTCTTTTAGATGCTGTAAACACCCACCCAGGTGCGGTTGCTGTTATATAATGCTTGGCCATGAGCTCCTTGCTTGCTTACTCAGGAATACTCAGTCATATGTCCTATGAGACCAAAGGCTTTCACACGTTGTTTGGCACCAGCCTTCAGTTAATGCACCCTTGGGCCAGAAGCCCTGTGTGTTTGCTAAGAAACATCCTGGGTCTTGGGACAAGGTGCCCAACTGTTACTTCCTGGCAACTCTGTCACGTCAATAGTGTCTTTTCCTTCGTTGCCAGGTCAAGAAAGGAAGGCTAAGCCTAAGTCAGGTCACCACTGAAGTCCTACTGCTGTGCTAGGGATCTTCGATCTGATCTTCTTTATTTGGATGTTGGGTTTGAATCTGAAATGCTCCCCCACAGGTTTATGTTTTGAGCACTTGTTCTCCAGCAGGTGGAATCTTTAGGAGGTGGGGCACAGGGGAGAGCCTTTGAGGGTTGCACCAGCCCTGGTTGCTGTCTTGCTCTCTGCTTCCTGTCAGCCATGATGAGACCAGCTTCTACCATGTGTTCCCACCTCTGTGCGCTGAACTGCTCTGCAATGCTTTCTCCACAATTGATTGAACCCCTCTGAAACCATAGGCCAAAATATATCTTTCCTGCCTTAGCTTGTTTCTGTCCAGTATTTTGGCCACAGGTATGCAAAGGTAACTGCTACATTGAGTGTTCTATCCTTTCTATGGCTTGATCACCAGGGTTCTTCTGTTCCATTCTTGAGACCTTTTCAGAAACAGATTATCATCTGATTGCATTTAGTTCAAGGTTCCTAAGAAAGGAGTAAGTATTATTAACCTGGGGCTCAGAAGCTCTCTAAGCTCTCTAATCGTGAAAGTAAATTCTGTGTATGTGCATGTGTATGCATGTGCATATGTTTGTTCATACATACATTTCTCTGAGAAGATCATCTGCAGCGTGTCCTGTTTCCCAGAAGTGTCACTGGTGCCCTTTCGAAGTTTCTGATGCACTGCATTAGAGTGATTACTTTAAGCAGAGAGTTATGCGTTTTGCCTGCATGAGTCTCAGTTTGCCTCATACTTGATACCTTGATTGACCTAGGTGTGGTTTTGAGGATAATTTCCAACTCATGAGCGAGTTTCTTCAGTATCAGGTGGTGAGAGTGTGAGAAGCACGAGCTTGAAGAACTGACCCAGCATCTGCCTTGCCAGCAGGCCTTGCTGGGATGCTGATTTCATCTTTTTACATGTGCTGGGTACATACAGGGCACCCGTCTGCTCCTGTCAGCCAGTGTCAACAAGAACAATCACAGAAACATTTGTGTATACGAGGCATTGTCCTGCAGTTTTTTACACACATTTTCTTATTCAACAGAGCAAGCCCATGAAGTAGGTATTACTATCTCTATTTTTACAGATAAGGAAAACTGGTTGTGAAAATATTGATTTGGGGACTGGAGCAATGACTCAACAAGGAATGTTTCCTGTTCTTGCAGAGGACCTGAGTTTGGTTCCCAGCACCCAAGTCAAATGGCTCATAACCACCTGTAACTCCTGCTCCAGGGGATCCAACACCCTCTCTGGGCTCCACAGGCACCTGCACTTAAATGCACATATCTACACAAATATAATTTAAAATAATAAAAATTCTTTAAAGAAGAGATTAATGTGTTTAAAGACCTAAATTATGTAAGCCACAGAATGGAATTCAAACTTATGTTGCTTGGCTCCAAGTTTGCATCCTTTTTTAAAAAAAGTTTAATGTATATTTTATTGAATTTTTGTGCATTTCATGTAATAAATATTAATCATATTTAGACCCCCTCCCTTATTTGCACCCTCCCATAGCATCCCCCCACCACTGGATTTCATGCATTCTGTCATATATGTTAAGGTCTGTCAAGTCAAGCTTATGTACCCAGGTGTCCTTTGGTACAAGTTCATCCACTAGAGTCTAGTCAACCTATCTAGAGTCACACCCTTAAAGAAGATCAACTATCCCTCACCTAGGAGTTATAAGTTGCCAATAGTTCCTTGGCTAAGGTTGGGGCCTCCTGTCCATTTCCCCAGTTCTGTGCTGGGTTTTTGTCTGGTTGAGTCTCTGTATGGGTCTTATGCATGCTGTCTCCCATTGCTGCAAATTCATATGAGCAAGGTCCCAGAGACCTGGAAGACTCTGATTCCTTATGTTCATGCACCAACCCTGGCTCTTACAATCTTTCTGCCCCCTCTTCCACAATGGAGCATCCTTAATAACAAAAATCCTTTATGTGGATTTATAAGGCAGTGTTTGTAAAAAGCAGCTGACCTTACTAAGGTACGGAGCCCAGGGACTGAGATGTGGCAGGCACAGTTCTACTTCCTTTCCTTCTCCCCAAGTGATGGTCCCCTCGGCTCTTGTCCCTCTGATATGACTTTTCTTGTCCACCCTGTGCTTCAATTGCATTTGCTCCCGATGGGCAAACCAGAGCTGTCCATGAGGGTTTACACTGAGTCCTGACACCTGCAGGTTCCTTTCCCCTGGACTTGCTCCAAATGCCTGTTCTTGTCATCTTCCTCCCTCTCCCACTTCCTGCCCCAAGCTACTGATGGATTCCTTTATTCTTGACCTAAATGGGGCTCTGGGATCCACTCCATCACTGGGTTTCCCACCCAGTGGAACCTTCCCCATCTTCTCTTCCTACTTCCCCAGTCCCAAAGAGGACATTCCATGTCCCAGCAACTTCACCTAAAACTTCTTTTGGAGACATCCCTCCTCTCCACCCAAATCCTCCGGCTCTCATCTAGCTTCTTGTCTTGCTCCTGACCTGATAGCATTCTGCTGGAAGCCTTCTCCTCAACTCCACCCTTCACACAATCCAGCCACACCCTCTCTTCCTTGGCACCTCTTCATAATGTGATACGTGGTTAGAGCTGGCCATCCACCAGACGTGGTACTAGAATTTGCATGTAATGTTTTGCCATAGCAATTGTTCATCAACGTGCAAGGACAGTACTTTTCATGAGTCAGAGCTGGAGGAGAACCCAAGCCAGTTTGCCTTTGGTGTACAGTTTTCAACCTCTGTGCTATGATACATGGACAGGGGCCAGTCCTTCCTTGGTACAATCAAGCACCCACCTACTTTGGCAGACCTGAGGTTCTGTATTCCCTGCTCAGGCTTACACTGGGTGGTATTCTTGCTGCAGTCCTTCTGTCTGACCAGCCCTACAACATCGCCCTTTAAGGCTCAGCCCAGGTGCCACCTACCCCAGGGACACCAGTGACTCTCCTGAGCTAGATGGGCTGCTGCTGCTCTGAACCCTGGTTAGATCCATGTGTGCTGTTCTCATTTCCACCCATAGACTTTCTGAGGTGGGGGAATTGTCTGTCCTTGAACCTCCAACCCATAGCACAGATCCTGATCTAGGGGTCATGGGCCATTCAGGGTGGCCCATGGTGCATTTGTCTACTTTTCTCCTGTCTCAGATAGAAATGTCCCATGAGCAGCTATTGTGTCTATGTGATTGGCTTCACGTAGCAAGTGCTCTGCTACAATGCAGGAGGAGACATCAAATTAGGCACAGAGAGATAACAAGGACTTTTGTTGTCTATACTTTGGGTATACAGATGCAAGCCCAGAATCACAGGGCGACAGTGTGACAAGTGTGCTCCTGGATTCTACCTGTTCCCTGAGTGTGTTCCCTGCAATTGCAACAGAGCTGGTACTGAACCTGAAGTGTGTGACCCAGGGACCGGGACTTGCCTGTGCAAGGTAAGGCAGGTCATGTGATACTTGGGACTTTGCTGCCAGTCAGGGAGTTCTTCAAGGGGCCTGACCTATGATAGGTTTCTACAGTGTATGTGGCATTTCATGGCCATTATCTCCCTTCATAGGAGTAGTTGAGGAAAAGACTTCTCTCATCCTTTGGAAAGGCCACAGACCCCCTTGAGAATCTGTTGGCAAGGAGAGCTCTTTTCCAGAAAAATCAACATGAACTTTTATCTACAATGTCAAGAGGTCCATAGCTTTCTTAAAACTTGTTCTTGGACCACAGATACAGCCTGATTTGACAGGTGCTGCCATCTTATAGGTGGGCTCTGAGTCCCCGCAGGTGTTTCTAGGTGGTGGTAAGTTGGGAAAATTGGTTTCCTCATGCAGTGAATCCTTGTAGTGCTGTCTTTCTACGTTCAGGACACCAAAGACTGTTTTACAGAACTCAAGAAAACTTCTCTTCCACTTGTGTGTGTGTATTATAGAAGTTTAAACAAAGTGATGCAAATCTTAATAGCTTTGCATGTTTTGTGAGCACCCATCTCGTGTGGGTATTGAACTTGTGCAAGCAACGAATTGCAATAGCGGGGGATCTTTTGAAGAAATGAGGTCTTGTTCCTCATGTTTTACTTCAACAGGAAAACGTGGAAGGCCCAGAATGTGACATGTGTCAAGAAGGATCATTCTACTTGGACTCTGCCAATCCGAAGGGTTGTACCAGATGCTTCTGTTTTGGAGTGAATACACGCTGTCACAGTACACACAAGCGAAGAGCTAAGGTGTGTAAAAATTAGTCTTTGGCTTCTCGGTGAGCATTTTTAACTGAGGAACAAAGGGGGTGGCATAAAGCATGAAATGTTTTGAACATTAATGGTTGAACTAACCACAGTGGCCCTCACTGCTCCTCGGGCTGCAGCACTCTCTCCATAGAGCCCCTAGTTTTCCTTACTATTTAGATCTCTGATCAAATGTCACAAGCTCAGACTCCCCCCCCCCCCCGTAAAATAGCTCATCCTGGTCACTCTCTGCACTCTTCTTGTTTTCTCCATAGCATTTAGCACTTTCTGGCATCTTGTGCCTTCAACTTTAAAGATTTTGCTTCCTTCTCTGTCAGGAGAATGTAAATTCCATAATATATCCCAGGATCTAGGACACAATTGATATCTAGCAAATAATTCATTAAATGGATGGAATTTGTTGTTGTGTTTATCAGCTTTCCATTACTGTAAGAGAATACCCGAGACAGTCAAGTACAAGAGGAAAGAAGTTTCTTTGACCCATTGTTTTAAAGGTTTTAGCCCATAATTGGTTGGCTCCATTGTTTTAGGGCCTGTAGTTGTAGGGCAGTTAATCACGGTGGGAAAAATTGTTCTAGTTTCCTTTTCAAATGTTTTACTAAATCTTTTCTTTGGCTCCTTTGTGGTATGTGTGTCTGTGTGTATATGCTCATGAGAGAGTGCATGCACATGTGTGCACATGCATGTGGAGGCTAGAGGTCAATGTCAAGTGTCCTCATATATTATTTTCCACATTATTTTGTGAGACAAAGTCTCTTGCTGAACCTAGAGCTTGACAGTTTGGCTACACTGGCTGAGCTCCTCCTGTCTTTAGCTCTCCTTCTCTAGCACTGAGACTACAAGTGCATGCCACCAACATCCAGCTTTTTTTTCCTCAATGTATATTTTTATTGAATTTTTCTGCATTTCATATAATACATTTTAACCATATATAGACCCCACCCCTATCTGAACCTCCCATATCCCCCACTGGATTTCATGCATTCTGTTAAGGTCTATCAAGTCAAGTTTGTGTACCCAGATGTCTCGGTGCAAGTTTAATCAGTCTAGCTAGAGTCACTCCCTTAAAGAAGATCAACTCTCCCTCACCTAGCAGTGGTCAGTTGCCAATAGTTCCTTGCAAAAGTTGTGACCTCCTGCCCAATTCCCCCAGTTCTATGCTGGGTTTTTGTCTGATTGAGTTTGCCTGGGTCTTGTGCATGCTGTCACCATTACATCCAGCTTTTTTGCATGGGTTCTTGGTGGATTAAAGCTTTCAGGGCAAGCGTTTCGCCATCTCCCAAGCCTCGTTTGTCTACTTTTAAATTTGCTTTCGTGAAACTAAGACTTTAGTCATCTTCATCAGTCCAGGAACCAGTAGTGTCATACATAGAACATCTATATCTCACAGAATATCTTAGATCCAAGTTTTTCAAGGAAGATCATTTTACATATTTTACTGCCTACTTCCTAAATGGAGGGCAGATTGATAATTGAAAAAAAAAGTTTGTAGACCTGCTGTGAACTCACCTCTCCTTACCCGTCTTGGAACTAGAAAGCATTATTCCTAAGTGACTCCTGGTCAGTTATTTGTTTTTCCTTCTGCTAAAATGGACCTGGCTTCCTTTGCAACCAGGGAAATACTTGATCTTGATGTTCCACTTAGAGAAACATAATGACAGTAGGCCACTGTGTTCTATAACACACTTTCTTTTATTTGTTTTTTAAAAATTACCAGCCCCCTTTTTAAATTGAGTTCTTTGACAATTTCCTACATGCATATAATGCACTTTTTTTACTCTTTCCCTCTACCCTCTCCTTCCCACCCCTCTCAACCCCTCCTCCTCCCTACTTGTTCCATTCCTAGATTCATGACTTTTGATATTTTTTTTATGACCCCTTTCTTTGATCAGAGCTATTTATGTGACCACTGGATTGTAAATACTCTTTGAAGCCTGGTGGGGTCACCAGTGGGCACACAACTAAAGGCAATGACTCCTTTTTTTCCTGAACCTATCTATAGGAAATAGTTCATCAGTGATAGGCAGGACCCCGAGTCCCTCTTCCATCCTTCTTTATATTGATTTTACCTTTTCAATATGCCCACAGCCTAGTTATTATTCATACACTTACCTGATGATTATTTGAACATTCATTAAACAACTGCTAAATGTCAAGAGCCAAGATGCGTGCTAAAATACAAAGATAAAGCCCACATCCATATGGTCACTGCCCTTTGAGGACTGCTGACCACAATGGCTCAAAGGGGAACAGAGGGATGTGAGGGTCCTGTCATGGGACTCCCATGGAAGGCAGGCTGGAAGCAAGATGAATAGGGTCGGGGGTGTGGCTCAGTGGTGGACTCTATACTTTGCATGAGTGTTTTAGTTTGCTTTCCACTGCTGTGATAAACTCCATGACCAAAAGCAACACGGGGAGGAAAGGGTTTGTTTTAGCTTCTGAGTTACAGGCTGTCATCAAGGGAAGCCAAGGCAGGTACTCCAGACAGGAGCTTGAAATAGAAACTAATGGAGAAACGCTTATTGGCTAGCTCCCAGGCTCTCGATTAGCTACCTTTATTATGTAGCCCTAAATCACCTGCTTAGGGATGATAGCCCACAATGGGCTGGGCCCTCCCACATTAATTAACAATCAAGAAAATGCCCCTATAGACATGCCCACAGGCCAACCTGATAGAGGCAATTGAGAATCTCTTCCAAGGTGACTCTTGCTTGTGTCAAGTTGACAAAAACTAACCAGTACAATGAGTTTGATGTTACAGCATAAAAATGATACATAAAAGAAACCTCTGATGCTAGGTGGTCATTGTCTGGGTCTTTCAATGACACATAATGTAGCCATCACCCAAAAGGCCACAGGATGCATTACCCTAACTTGCTTTTATGTTGCAGTTTGTCGATATGATGGGCTGGCGTCTGGAGACAGCAGATGGAGTTGCTGTCCCGGTCTCCTTCAACCCAGGCAGCAACAGCATGGTTGCAGACCTCCAGGAGCTGCCGTCATCAGTCCATAGTGCATCCTGGGTGGCACCTCCATCCTACCTGGGGGACAAGGTAACGATGGTCTGTTGTCTGTCTGAACCCTCTGTGGGCCTCAGCTATCACTGCATAAGCATCACTTACCAGGGGTCTGGAGGAAAGCACCTGGAATTTCAGGTTATTAATGTTCAAAAATGAAGCTAAGCAACAATGTGGATGTTCTGCCTCTACCATGAGAGGCTGCATAAGCAGCTTGTGTGCCTGTGTCTCACGTGCATGAGCCCTCAGCAAAGAACATTTTGTAATTCCTGCCAAAGAATTTTCCTCTGGAAAAATATATAATTATTTAAATAATATCTGTTGCAAAAGGGACAGGTGCTTCTGAATGCCAGTGCTGAGATTTCTTTGTTTTAAAGTAGAAAGACTCCATGTCAGGGAAGCAAAAGCTGAAAGGTGACTCATAATCGCTAATAACTTCACTTTGGAAATGATACAGCCTTCCTTCTGCTTTGTTTTGCTCATGAACTTGCTAGAAATGTCACGAAGTCCAGCCTACGCTCAAGGGGAGGGCAATGGAGCTTCACTTCTAGGAAGAGGAAGATCAGAATCTGTGGATATGTTTTTGAAAACCACCTTAGCCTATCAAAAAAGGCAATTCTTAGTCAATAAGACGATTCGAGGCATTCCCTGGAAATACTTCTAGACTTGAGAACACAGCTCTAGGAGGCTTCATCAGGTTGCAGGTTCTAGAAGCTTCTGTGGTTTGAGATCAGGGCTTATTCTCCAACTGTTCCCAGTTGGTGTTTCCCCAGAACAGCATTTTGTTCTCAGCTGAGGTGATGTTGCTCTCATCTTTCCTCCTTGGCTGACTTTAAGGGTGGGAGAGACCAGAAGCAGAGGTAAAGTAGTTGACAAGAAAATGTGACTTTCACTGCCACAGGGCCACCACGGTCACACTTGCCCAGTCTGCATCTCTGAGGGAGCAGTTGATCATGGCGTCTCTCTCCAGCAGAATTCAGAATAACATAGAAAATAGTCGCTCTCTGATTTCAAGGGAATTTTATTTTGGAAAATCTATTTTGAAGAGGTCCATTTTGCAACTGAGATTACCCAAGTCTCCCAGTTGCGTAAGAAACCAGTGGTCTAGATTTCCTAGAATTTTTATGGATTAAGCAAATATTCTGATTTAGTAGTCATTGAGGAAAAAAAATATCTTATTTCTGCCAGTATGGGTATTATTTTTGCTTTTTAATAAAAGTATATTCTTGGTGATCAACAGCATCTTTGTGCTAAGCATTTTCAATAATGTAAAAAATGATGTAAAGTAGGAGATTGAAGACCATTTCTAGTCCCACTCGGAAGAGGTCACCTTTGCCTACAAGCATCGTAGTTAATGTCAGTCTAATCTTTTTCAATGCTTGTGCTACTGATGCTGTCCGTTCAATTTTAGGTTTCCTCGTATGGTGGCTATGTCACCTACCAAGTCAAGTCCTTTGGTTTACCTAGAGATATGGTTCTTCTGGAAAAGCAACCGGATGTGCAACTCACTGTAGGTATTATGACCCAAGCAGCAGGAAGTAGTGCTTTCAACTGGGGCTAAGCACAGTGTTGGATTAAGTTGTGTCTGCTATTTTGAAGACACTGACACAGATACTGGCAAGAGGCCACTTTGCTTTGTGTGTGTGCATGTGTGGAGGCCAGATATCAACCTCAGTTGCTGTTCTTCAGGCACTATTCACCTTGTTTTTGAGACGGGTTTCTCACTTGGCCTGGAACTCAATGATTAGGCTGTGCTTGCTGGCCAGGAAGCTCCAGGGATCTGTACCCAGTTTTTACTTGGGTGCTAGGGGTTGAATACAGGCCTTCATGCTTGCATGGCAAGTGCTTTACCAACTGAGCTATCTCCCGAGCCCCAGTTTTGAGTTCTTGAGAAGTAACACACACAAGCTATGTACCCAAAGCTACAGGCCATGAAAATTCCTCGAGACGGGGTGATGCCACATCCTGTTTTGATAAGCCTACAATATAGGACAAAATTCCTGGAATGTGGGTTAGGGTGGCCTCACTGGAAGTGGATTCTATTTCTGCTTTATTTGGGAGGATCTACTGTGGCTGGAACCCAGAGGGAACTCACAAGCACTCTTCTGCCTGCCCACATTTCTGCCCTATGTGCTATGATGCAAGCTTCCAATTCCAGCCTCCTGGAAGGTTTTTCTGCACCATTCATAATAAACAAGGACCCTTAAATCTCATGCCTCCTCATGGGGCCCCACGTGCTTGGTAGATCTGTGTGTTCGAGCATTGCTATGCTGTGTTTTGCTTTTATTGGCATACAAATGTACTGGATTATTATTAAAACGGAAAGGAATCTTTGCAGAACATAATGAAAATTAAACAGCAGAGATTGTTTATTCATATAGCCTTACCGAAAGGCAGCTCTGCAGGACAGCACTGCCTCAGTAGGGTTGAGCTTCCGCTCTATATGCTGCAGCGCCTCTTGCAGTGACTCCTGTGCTTTTTACTGCAAAGTTTATTATGCACACTCCTGGAATGTCCTGGGAGGTAATGACCAAAATCTCCCCTTAATTTCACCTTCAGACATGGAAAATAATTTAGGCTCCTGAAGCATTTTCTTTGCTGCTTTGTTCTAAGCCACTGTAATTAAGAGCCTTCAGGGGCATGTTCCTTAGATTAAGGTCTGAAGTGATTTGTGATCCTAGATAATGCTCTGCTTTCTGAAACCCCAGCCTTTGGGTTTGGAACTGCCACAGAAAAGCTGGGCTGGGACATAATGTGACTTGGGATGGAGTTGCTAGTGGACGTGGACTAGCCGGTTCTGCCCTGTGTGAAGCTCCCCAAGAGTCACTGAATGGGGTGGGTGGGGAGGTTGAGAGTGAGTAGGCCAGATCCCCCGGGGCAGGGCCAGAGTCTCCAGCCCATTTCTCCATCTACTCGCTCTTCTTCCGCTTCAGTGTGCTGACCATACAAGCTGCGAGGCTGGGCTCTGCTATGCCTTCCTCCACCCCCACCCTCCCCAGCGGTCCATCCACCAATCTGGTCCTGTGATCAGTCACGAAAACAGTACTTCCCACATTTACTGCAAAGCATGATTTAAAAATTATTTTTATGCACCTTTTAAAACCATTTTCAGTCAGAGCAATTCCCTTGATTTCCCATTTGTGAAAATGGGTTGTATTGGCTATTGTTCATCTGTTTCCCAGTCGGAAATTCTTTCACTGGTCAATTCCATGCTGTTTAGCATCTGTTCTGATATGGAGATAGATCTCAAAGCATGCCAACCAAGGCACTAATGCATTCATGATGTTTTCTTTAAACAGGGTCAGCGCATGTCCATCATCTATAAGGAGCCCAGTAATCCACAGCCAGATCGGCTGCATCATGGGAGGGTGCAAGTGGTTGAGGTAAAAGACTCATTAGAGGATCTTAATCATCCTGTTTGTTCTGGGGTTTAGTTCTCCCAGTCGCAATTCTCACTTATTTTAAGAGTATTTTTAAAATATAAGTTACATTTATGTAGAAATAAGTATATATATATGTATTGCATATAAAGTATATATGTTATACACACATGGTTAAAAACACCCAAATGCTATAAAATATAATAGAATATATAGTGTTTGGCATGCAGTGGCTTTGTTTGCATCATCTTTATGGTGCTTTGGTAGTACCTTCTCATTTCACAAATAATTACCCTTGTCATGTGTGTGCACGTGTGTACAGTCCAGAGGACAAACTCAAATATCATTCCTCAGGTGCTGTTCAACTCAGTTTTGTTTTTAAGATAGGCTTTCTCACTTGGAGCCTCCTAAGTAGGCTGGTGAGAGAGCCCTAGGCTCCTCCTGTCTCCACCTTCCTAGCACTGGGATTATAAAATGGCACCGCCACGCCCACTGTTAGGAGGATTCTGGGCACTGCACTGAGGTCCTTGTGCCTGCAAGGCAAGCACGGACTGAGCCATCTCCTCAACCCCTATCCTTGTCTTACGGCCTCCATGAGCTTATAAATGCCATGATGTCACTTCCTTTCATCCTTAAGTCTCCCTTTTGATTTTTATTTTATGTGTATGAGTGTATTGCCTGCATGTATGTAAGTACACCTATTTATGTGCCTGTGGAAGTCAGAAGAGGGGGTCGGATCCCCTGGAACTGGAATTATGTGTTGTTAGTTGCCATGTGGGTGTTGGGACTCGAATACGGGTCCTCTGTAAGAGCAGCCAGTGCCTCTCAACCACTGAACCATCTCTCCAGTTCCAGAATCTCCCTTAATACATAGGACTTAGTCAGTGCCCAAGAAATGTCCAACATAGATGGAAATATCTTACACCAGAAAAAGTAATGTAGCTAAAGAAAGAAATCCTCATCAGTTCATAAAATATCTTATTACACCTATTTGATTGCTAACATTCCTTTAAATTGGTGTTCTATTTATATAATTAAGTATAAGCAATAATTCAAAGTAAAATGTTTTAGTCCATTGAACTCACAGAAATATTTAACATTTCTGAACAGACACTACATCTGTTCAATAGAACATTTTTGCTATAAAAAATGAAATCATTAGTACTTACTACAAAAAAAATGGTGGAGAAAGGACTCCTAAAAATTCTTGTATAAAATCAATAAGAAAACAGGCAGAATGACCATAGTTAACTTTATCAGGACCCTAGAAGCTAGTCAAAGGCTTGGAATTATATAGAAAGTGTTTTGTCAAGAGAAAAAAAAAAAGAATTGCTGTCATAAAAAAACACTGTGATGAGCACCGTGGTGTTAACCTAGTCCTATTCCATCCTCCCCCTCCTTCTCAATAGGAATCTTGCAAAAGAGATTGGAGCTCCTTGAAAAATCTCCTTTTGAGAGAATTGTCATGATGGGTTTGGAGGTTTGGGGGAAGATCCCACTTGCAAAGCTGTCTTTAGTTGACCTGATTGGGACTTTTCTCCTGGGAATGTTGAAATTATTTCAAAGTCATCATTTAATTTCAGGACTGTCTGGGGTAGAAGGTAATCATGCAGCTTAAAATGCAAAAGCTAGGGGATGAGCTATCCATGGAGGCATTGGAGAGTTATTTTTCAGTTGTGTGTGTATATGTAATTGAGTATAGGTGCCCATGGAGGCCAGGAGAGGGTATTGGATACCCTAGAGGTGGAGTTATATGTGGGTGTGATATGCCTAACATGGGTGCTGGGAACTGAACTTGAATTCCCTAGAAGAGCTGCAAGCACTCTTAACCACTGAGCCATCTCTCCAGCCTTCCATATGGGCTTGAAAAGCTCCATCATAGTCATGGGGATATAGAAGGCTACATTCAGGGCTGTGCCCACTTTCAGGCACAGCTGAAGAAAGAGCTGAGAAGGCCCTAACTGCTCACCTCTGGCTCACCTGGAGGCTATGTGCAGTCAGGAAGTGGAGGCTAAGGCAGAGCTATCAACTGCCTGGCTGAGAGTTGAAGAGGTCTATGTACACAAAGCCATTTTGCAAAGATTAGGAGAGTTGTTGGCTCTGAGAACTTGAGAAAATATCTACCCAATCATTATCTGATCACTAAGCTGATCACTAATCAGAGACTGTAGGTGGCCACATGTGACAAAGATGCAGACTTTACAGAATTCACTCAGAAAAGGGCATTAAACAATAACAATAAATCCTTGGTAGTAGGGCAAGTATGACTTCCTGGGTTGCCAAATTATATTAAATGTCCAGCTTCCAAAAAGCTTAAGGACAGTTGAAGAAACCAAAAGTATGGTCCATACAAAGGAGAAGCCGGCAAGCAATACTCTGTCACAGGGATGTGTGTTGGAGACTAGATATTACACTTAACAGACAAGATTTGAAATCAGTACTTTACATATGCTCAAAGATACCATGTCTAAACAGCTAAAGGTACAGATGAGAACAGTGTCTCATCAAATAAGGAATATCAATAAACAAATAGGAATTATATTAAAAATAGGAATTCTGGGGTTGAGGAGCTGGAGAGATGGCCCAGCAGTTAAAAGAACTTGCTGCTCTTGCAGGGGACCAGAGTTTGGTTCCCAGCACACAGGCCAGGCAGCTGACAACCTGTAACTCCAGCTCTAGGAGATCCAATGCCCTCTTCTGTCCTCTGCGAGCACCCACATGCACACACACACACACACACCACACACACCACACACACAAGTACATGCACACACATGTACACACACAAGTAAAAAATAAAATAATTCTTTATAACAAATATTAAGAAGAGACACCAGAGAGCACACTTCCTTTCCAGCACATGAAGATATAATGAGAAGGGTCGTCTACAAATCAGAAAGACAGCCTCACCAGAAGCTGAAGCAGCCGGCACCTTGATGTGGAACTTGTAGCTTCCAGAACTAAGAGAAACTATATTTCTTGTTTAAACCACCCAGTAATGGCGTTTGTTATGACAGCCCCAAGTGACTAACAATGGGTTCAGAAGCAGACATGAACAGGTCCAAGGACGAATCACCAAATTTGAAGTTCAGGTGTAGCAATGAGATACCAGAGAGAGAAAAATATTTGAAGAAGTAACTATTTCCCAAACTCGATGAAAGTCATTAATGTATATATATACACCAAAACTCCAACAAGCTCTAAACAGGATACATGGAAGTGAGTCACACAAACATAGCAAACAGGCAGAATGACGAAGTCAGGGAATAGAAAAAGCACTGATCCTTCACATGCAATTGGCCCTCAGTAAGACCAACAGCTGAAGGTCAGAAGGTACTGGGTGAGACATTCAAGCTACCGAAAGAAGCATCAGCTCAGTGGGTAAAGTTGCTCACACCACCAGGGCTGATGACTTGAGTTCAGTCCCTGGAGTCACATGGTAGGAAAAAAGAATTGACCCTTGCAAGTTGTCCTCTGGCCTCCACTGCAGCTCGTGTGTGCACATACACCAAATAAATAAATGTAAAAAAATCACAAGTACTGAAAGAAACACGATGTCAACAAAGAATTACATACTCAGAAAAGCATCCAAAAGATGAAGACATTTCATTATATATGTATGTGTGTATACACATAGATATGTACATACATGTAAATACATATGAAAAAACAGAAAATTAATTGCTAGCCAACTTCCTGACAAGAACTACCCCAGGAAATCCTTCAGACTGAAATGAACAGACAGTAGACAGTAACAATTATGCACATTTAATTAATGCTGCTTCACTTAGCTGCTTTCCATAGATCTTTTCTTTTTCTGTATCTTTATCATTGACTTTATTTTTGCCCAGATAAAAGTACATTTTTAAAAGGTATAGCACTGAACCTGGAACCCGCACCCCCTTCCCAGGAGCCTGGTCTGACTGTGGCTGTCAGTGTTCCAGGAGGGACACCCTAGCCTTCTTTGATATTTTTCCTTATGCCTCTGCATGTCTTCTCTTTGACCGATTCTGGGGCCTGCTTCTCTGAGCAACCCCGGAAGTGCACTGGCCTCAGGGAGCCTGTCCGTTTGCCTGTGCAGGGAAACTTTAAGCATGCAGGCAGCAGTGCCCCAGTGTCCCGGGAAGAGCTGATGATCGTGCTGTCCAGACTGGAGGGGTTGCACATCCGGGGCCTCCACTTCACAGAGACACAGAGGCTGACCCTGGGTGAGGTGGGGCTGGAGGAGGCCTCTGACACTGGAAGTGGACGCAGAGCTCATCAGGTGGAGATGTGTGCCTGTCCCCCTGACTACACAGGTGACTCATGTCAGGTATGAAGTTTTCCCAGCCACATATTCCCCATTCCCCTGGGGCCCTATTTGTGTCTGGCTTTTTCTGGCTGCTGCCCAGTACACAGCATGGTTGGGGGCCTTTACCCATCATCCAAGGGTATGCTGGCCCAGATCTAATACGTAGACTACTTTTAGAGATTAAAGGTGCTAAAGACATCTCTAATGTCTGGGTATTAATAGGGGAGCAAAGGGGCTCAGTGGTTGGAGAAATCAGAAGCTGGAAGGAGCTCTGGGCTCTCTGCGCTCGCTGATCCAGATCCTTCCTCTCAACCCCCTGCCCGCCTGGTGCAGTTGAATTCCAGAAGATTTCCTGGATTCTATGAAGGAAAATTGTGTTCCAATTTTCCACCTCTTAGCCTGCCCTGTTGCTTAAGGTTGTCCCCAAGTGATTAAAATGTGCCATAAAAATGAAACCATTTTCCATATCACCTTGTAAATATGTTGTCTTTTTTAAAGAGACACAAGATGTAGTAGTTAGCTACTGTGTCATACCCTATGCCCCACTCACTGAATGTGTGTAGATTTAGGGAAACTCTTCACCCTCTTTCAGGCTCATTAATAGCAGAACCCCAAAGGTGATTTCTAATTTTTAGGCCCATAAATAGGCTCCCTGCCATGACATTCTGAGGATTCCTTTGCTTGTGATTGTTAGCCCATAGCTTGCCTATATCCAGCTCTGGCCCCTCCAGCTCCTTTCCAGCCTGATTAAAACAGATAGCCCAAGGCAGAGAGAAGGTGGATTACCACCCTCATGCCCGGGGTGTGGGCTCTGTGATGACTCAACCTATGATTTACAGCTGTTCTAATCGCCTAGTGCGGTCTGTCTGTGGGGCCAGGTGGGTAGAAGGCGATGTCTGCCCCACCTCACAGGAATTATAGAGCGGTGCGCTCACCTGTGGGACTGTTATGCGCTCTCTCCCTGGCAGGGCTGACTCATGTGTGAAGTTTAAAGGTGGGGCCCCTGCCGCAGACAGCCTTCCTTGCTTGAGTCAGGCAGGCCTGGGCACTGAGCAGGAAGGGCAGGTATAAGAGGAAGAGGTAGAGGTTTGCACGTAGCCGTAGCCGGCAGGACGCCCAGGGACCAGAATGTCCCCCGCAGTGAGGTGGTCAGCCAGGAGCCCAGGATGGCTGTGGATCTTTGTGGCAGCCCTGGGCCAATGTCTGGGGTACGGTTCAGAGCAGCAAAGGGTAGCATTTCTCCAGCCTCCAGGTCAAAGTCATCTGCAAGCAAGTTTTGTGGAGCTTAGACCCAGCCAGGTAATGCCCCTTTTAAATTTCGCTTTGGGATGGGGAAGTGGTCCCAGCTTTGTGACATTTTGTGTTAGGGTGATTAAAGATTAGATGGGTGGGCTAGGGGTGGGGTAGGTGGCCTCCTCATTGTAATGAGTGGCAGTGTTTATTACACTACCTGACAGATTGCTCTCCGGAGCTGTTAACCGCAAGCCTCATAAACATCAGCCCACCTGGGAATGCTTAGACAGTTAAGAGTCTGAATGCTTGTGGGGTGCCAGGACAGCATGAAACTCTGTGCCCTTTAAGGAGCAGCTAAAGCCTGGGACAGAACCACTGCTTGGAGCTTTGCAAATTTCGCTTGGAAGGAAATTACCCACTAAGTAAAACATGAGAAACAATGAGATCCGTGACTACTAAGAAAAGCAATCAAAGTTTGCATAGTGCCTCACAGACGTGCTGAGATGTGCTGGGCAGGAAGAACTTAACGAATTCTGCTGTCTTTAAATTCCCTGGTTGCTACACGGCATGCTTTTGGAGAAATAAAGCCCGCGGCTCCTGAAATAGCCCTGGTTACTGGGTAGGGGTATCATGTTATCACTTAAAGAATCATTTATAGTATAGTAGACTGGTAAATTTATCCAAAAAAATTATCACTTTGTAGAACTTAACCATTTACACAATCCCCTTATTAAAGCAATGTATTAGATCACATCCATTTTTGTTTAGAGTAACTTCAAAGGTATCTGAATATTTGAACTGAAATTTATGTGAAATGTGTCTGCTTGCTTGTAGGGGCAAGAAAATGATTGTATTTCAGTCAGTGACAAATACTTCGAGAGTCACATGACTGAGAACTTGTGCAGAGTATTTTTCCTGCTTATGATTAAAAGCACATTAAGGCGGGTAATTTTGTTTTGATTAGGATAGACTGTCCTTCCCCAAAGAAGGTTTAATTAAGGCTTTTACTCAAGTGTGGCATCCTAAACTCACCAGACCTGCTTGTTTATTTGAATAATTTGTCCTTTACTGAATATAATTATTTGAAGTAGATAAATGATGTTAACTGTAAGGTGCTCGCTGTTGATGCTCGAGTTTACTTGTTGTAGGTCCACCATCACTGGTTGGATTTCTTTACATGTGTCTAGAGTTATGCTGTTAATAGAAGAACAGTCCCGTCATTCTCTGGTCCTCCTTTAGACATGCCTACCCCTACAGAGCCCGTAAGGTAGTCTAAGATTTTTTCCATGTGTTCCTTTGCCTAAACATCATCTCTAACCACTTAAAGGAACATTATATTGGAACTTCAGGTCAGTTTTATGTGATCTGTAGTTATTGGTGATTCTGGAAGGAGTTCCTGGTTAGGACTGAGAGGTTCCACCTGGGGAGCACATGACCTTCCCCTGTTCAGTGACCTAGGTACAGACCTTCACAGCTGTGGATGAATACAACTGGCCTGTTTATTTCAAGACATCCCTTGACTGTAATTTTAGAGTCTTATAGACATATATGCTGTTTAAAAGTACTTCAGTAGAAAACTATCTTTTCTCTTGAAATACAAATTTTTCCTGATGCTCTGAAGCTAGGGGATATGGGAGAGCAAACAGAGGGCAATGTCTGATTTTAATCTGTGCATTGGTTCTGTCAAAATAAAGATCTCGTCTATGATCCTCTTAAAAGAAAAAATTTATCTCCAGGGCAATGTCTGATTTTAATCTGTGCATTGGTTAGTTCTGTCAAAATAAAGATCTCGTCTATGATCCTCTTAAAAGGCAGAAAGCTAAATAATTTTTAATGAGTGCTATAAGAACCATTGCTCTTTATCTATTGGAACATTCTAAATTGAGTCATTTAAACAAGGTATCAGTGCGTGAAAAGAAAACCATAGTTCTTCTAATTCAGGTAAAAATAAATAATCCTTATAATTATGGTGGAAGAAGACAGTGTCCTGGAGATAAAATGATCTGTGCAATAGTTAACAAGAAAGGAAAACTAAACCCCAAGACACTCTATCAGGCTGAGTCTCTGTGTTTACCACGGACCAAATTCTCCCTCCATCTTGGCTTCCTAGTGACCACTGATTAGTAAGTGGTGCTGAGATGATTCCAATAATTGAACCATCATAGACTCCATGTAGACCATGTAGACTTCAGTGAAGATTCTATATGCTCACTTTATCCTCCTCCTCCTCTATGACTCCTCTCACCAGCCCAAACCCACACTTCGCTAGGGGTGAGCTATCAGGAGTACTTGAACTTGAGATGGTTTTCTTAGCTGTTCACCCCACTAAGGGTGGGGGTCCTAATACTCTTTCCTCCCATCTTTCTACCCCCTGGACCCCTTCAGAACAACCGGTGTGTGGAGAGGGGCTCCATCCAACCCCCAGCTCTGCCATCTTTTAGTTCCTGTTCCTGTCACTGCAAGGAAACGGCACAACCTGACCAAAAAGGAAGTGTTCTAGGCTGGTGGTTGAAGTTAGAAATTCACACAGCACCTGGAGAAAGACGATTGACAACCCAACTCCTTCACAGTCAGAATTGTGACAGACTTTGGAGAGTAATTCTTCTTTCTTTGTATTGATTTAACACTTTGTTTGAAAAATAGGATTGTAGCCCTGGATACTATCGAGCTAACAGAGGCTTGCCTACTGGAAGGTGCATTCCCTGTGATTGCAATGGACATTCAAATCGATGCCAGGATGGTTCGGGGATATGTATTGTGAGTAAATCGATAGGCTGGCACCTATCAACAGACAATTTGTTTCTCCTCTTTCCCTCTACTGTGCCCCAAGATATCAATGTCACATCTACTACTGAACTCTAGACAAAGGTTGCAGTGACCATGAAGGAGGCTTCTGCATCATCAGACTGAACTACGTATTTTACATTTCATTTTTTCCTCCATCTCAACATGTACCATCAGAAAAGAATACCACCCGAAGAGTTACCTGATACCTTAGCTTCTATTATCTCTGCCTCATTAAATGATATCAATAGATGGATCATGGGACTGAACTCTTGCTGGATATAATAAGTCAGAGCTGTCACTTAGGGCTCGATTTTGTTGTGGTGGCATGGGGTTCAAGAGGGGCACTTGTGGCTTGTCAGATAAGCAGTAACTCAAGAAAGCAATTAAGGAATGCTGAGGATGGTGATTAGTTGGTAGAGTGTTTGCATAGTGTGTATGAAACCCTGCATTTGATCCCAAGCACCACATTAACCTGGCGTGTTGGTGCACACCTATAATCTCAGCACTCAGAAGATGAAGGCAGAAAGAGCTGAAGTTCAAGGTCATCCTTAGCTACATAGCAAGTTTGAGGCCACCCTGGGACACATGAGACCTTGCTTCAAAAAGAGGAAATACATATATATATATATGTGTGTGTGTGTGTGTGTGTGTGTGTGTGTGTGTGTGTGTGTGTTTAATGGTGGGAGGGACTTATAAAAGGAAGGAAGAGAAAGAAAGAAGGAAGCAATTAGGAGAATGACATGCCTCACACCCAGTCAGTCAAACACAGCCCACCATTGTCAAGATAAAGTGATATGGGAAAGGTGAATGATGGATCATGCCAAGAAGGAAAATTGTGCTCTCCCCCACTCCTCCTCACAGCACCCATAGGCCTTCTAGCCACTTTTTCCTTATCTTAAGGCAGCTTTTGATGTCTCTACCTTATCTGCTAGAAAATATCTTATTTTGGACTATTTTATAAAATTCTCCCCTTAAGATTAGTTTGTTAAGAAATTTTCTTTTGATGGGGCTGGAGAGATGGCTCAGCAGTTAAGAGCACTGGCTGCTCTTGTAGAGGACCCGGGTTAAATTCCAGTACCCACATGGCGGCTAACAACCATCCGTAACTCTAGTTCCGGGGGATCTTTGCCCACCTCTGACCTCCACGGGTATTGCATGACATGGGTGCCCTTACACACATGCAGGCATTACACTCACACACATAAAATAAAATTAATAAATAAAAAAGAAATTCTATTTGCATCCTGAAACAGGATCTTTTTACTGTGCTTCTTTCTTCTCTTCCATCAGAGTTCTCCCACAAGGTAGCCATGGCCTCCCAGTTAAGGCAGGGAGAGGGTGTGGGGTCTCCCAGGAATTCTGTTTCAGAACTATGCTCACAGACTTCCGATGTGTAATACAATTTAGCATCTGTCTCAACTTCTTGAGTTCCTAGGCTGCACTGAGCCAATTCAGCATGTCTTGGAGATTGCTTCCTCTGCAAGATGGGACAGGCCAGAACAGGAAAGTGTTGTAAAGGCCTGCCTGATAGAATATAACCTTATAAGTTCAAAAAAGAATAAAATATGTTAACAAAGACTGTTGTCCTTCTCATAAATATTCCTGAACAACAGTCTATGTTTGATACTGTATAGTGTGTGCAACACAGGTGAATGCTTTCATTAAGAGTAAATGTTGTCTTATCACTGAACCATTGCTCAGTGTCAAGTCTACCTTATAAAAACAGCCAGAGAATAAAGTTTTCTCCAGAGGCCATACACTCCATGAAAGGATAACTCGTGAGTCATGATTCATATTTGAATCAAACTAGATTCTCTTTTCCATTTGCTGTTTTAGAAGTTCTGTCTCCACTTGTCTCCAAAGGCCATTGTGTCCCCTAGAAACAGACTGTTCAGTCAGGAATATCCTGAACGTTTGCTCCTTAGATGAGTGCTACAGTGCCAAACCATCAGACAAAACCCTTACTCTCAAGAGCTTGCTTTACATCCATACATACACGCACATACAAACACACATATATACATACATACACAAATATACACACATGCACACATACACACTACATATACACGCATATGCATACACCTACACACATCCACACATACATACATACACACCACACACACACGCACACACACAGGATGCCCAAATCTGCACTCACTGCTCAGTGTACCCACTACATGGAATCCAAGGACACAGCTCTCCTCAAAGACTAATGGCAAGGAGACATAGGCCTTTGCTTACCCAATGGGCTTTCAGGCTGATCCTGCTGCAAACTGGCTTCCACCTCTCCAGATCCCACACAAATTTCTAAAATTTGGGACTCTTGGGCATATGCAAATCTTTGTTTCATTTCAAGAAAAACCTGGGAAGTTGGCAAAATAGGGGGCTCCTTGCTGGTGAGGCAGTATGAGTCCTGCTGTGAAGCTGGCCTAGCTGTCTCCATTTTTCTCCTCACCCCCCAATTCATCATCCTCCATCACCCCTTCTGCCACAGTGATCGGACTTCTTCTTTTCCCATGTCCCTTCCTTTTCTCCTCTCATCTTCTTCAGTTCCTTCTTTTCATCCCCTGCCTCTTGGCCCATCACCCAGATGCTCATCAGAAGTAACTGGTCTGAATTCCCAACTGAGGTCATGCTTCTTGAAGCCGTGGCCAGTATGGTCTCAGGGGTTCTCACTAGCTGAAACCCAGCACTTGCACATCAGCACCTGGTAAACCAACAGCTGCTTGCCCACCCCACCCCGCACTAACCTGCTCTCACAGCCCTGTCACAGGGATAGGGTTCTCTGTACTTTGTTTCCTGTGCCTGGGATGCCCTTTTCTCGCCTCTCCCATCAGCTGGTCTCTCTCCTTCCATTCTTATTTCTCAGGTCTTTTCAGTTTCCTAGTTAAGTGGATACATGACTAAACTGTATCTATCCAGGCATATTTAGGATAGTCATTTTTTTTTTATTAAGACAAAAAGAAGAAAAACTTTAAATGCGAATCATTAGTTCCAAAGAATGGAGGTTTTATAAGTGACAGAGTAGTTAAGCAAAGCAAAGATGAAGGGAGCACAAGCATCCTTGCCTGACTCCTGAGAGAGCATCTCTGTGGAGATGATAACTCACAGGGTGGATTTGCTCCAGTGGCAGAACCTGAGGCAAAGGAGAAGCACACAGTGTGGTGGGACTGGGGACAGGGAGGAGGGTAGGATTGCAGATAGGGTGAGCCTGCTAGTGATGATCCAATGGGAGCATAGAAACCACATCCTACCTTAAAGGTCCTCCTCATCCTCTAAAATATTTGTTCATCTCCTGTGTTTGTAACCCTAATTCTATATTTCCTGACTAATTTTAATTGTAAATTTGACCCGACCTAAGGTTATCTGGCAAGAGGGATTCACAATTGAAGAATTTCCCAGATCAGATTGGCTTGTGGCCATTTTTATGAGAAGTCGTCTGGATTGATAATTGATGTGAGAGAGCCCAGCCCACTGTGGGAGGCCCCATTTCTAGGCAGGTGGACCTGAGCTGTGTAAGAAAGCTAGCAGACAGCAAGCCAGAGAATGAGCCAGTAAGCAGCCTTCCCCCATGGTTTCTGTTTCAAGTTCCTACCTGAGTTCCTGCCCTGATTTCACTCAATAATAGATTGTGACCTGGAAGTGTACATCAAATAAACCTTTCCTCCCCAAGTTGCTTTTGGTCAGAGAGTTTTATCACAGCAACAGAAAAGCAAACTAGATCATATATCTAGAAAAAAATGAAAACTTTTAACATCTTGGTGTTTCATCTGTTAAAATTTTCTTAAATTTTCAATTGACATGCAATTAATTATACACATGATGGTGGCACGATGTAATATTTGATATATTTTTTCCAGTGCATAATACTCAAAGTAATCAGCATGTCCAGTAGTTCAAATGCAAACGTGTCATTTCTTGTGTTAGAAACTTTCAAAGTCCTTTCATATATATCCTAGAGAAAACAGTACAACTTATTCCTCCTATCTGAGTGTGTTTTATATGATTTTCAGTTCCTCAAAGGTTCACAAAGTATGAATTTGTTGAATCAGGATGAACCACAGCCATGTATGATTGAAGGGTAGTCTTTCCTGTTGGAGACAAACCCCATCCTCTTGCGATGCATATATATATATATATTTTTTTTTTCCCATTCTTGCTTCAGGTATTATTTAAACGTCATACCCATTAATGGTCCCCATCGAAGCACCATCTCTGTGTACAGAGATAAAAATGCATGAGTAAATTTAAAGCTCAAGCTCATTCTAGGACATTTAATTAACACAAACTGTGAGTTACCAAGTGTCCATATCAAGGGGAACTTTCCTTAATATTTTTGTGTATTCAAAGCTTCTCTGCTAGGGGAGAACAAGAAAGGCTACCCTAGATTAAAACTTTCAGAAAACAAACATTCTACACAGTCTGAGCTTTCTTCACTCAGTTGCAAAGTTGTTTCACCGTAGCACTTTGCTGCAGAGCCCCTTCCTTTAGACACTGGCTTTGACATGAAGATAATTGGGTGTACAGAAATAAAATGTTGAGACACAGTTTCTTCTCTGGATCTTAAATTGAGCAATTTCTTCAAATACTGTGTAACTTTTGGTTTTCACAGATCCCATGCATTAAAACCTACTTAATTTCGATTGCTCTTCAGTATATCATGCTAAGTGAATTATGAAACGAAATGAGCTTAGTCTTCAAAGAAGTACATTTGGATGTAGTTGTATGTCCATAAAATTGATCTAAGAAAGAATAAAGCTCAGAGAACTTAAGGAACTTGCCCAGGATGTCACAGCAGTAAAATTTCATTGCATAGGAACCTGGGTAGACATTTTCTACTGTATCATGCCTCAGAATAACTAATGGAAGGATGAGAGAGAGAGAGAGAGAGAGAGAGAGAGAGAGAGAGAGAGAACATGTATCTGTGTGTACGCAGGTACATGTGTATGTATAAGTACACTTGCATGTGTTGGGGGGAAAGCAGAGTACAAACTCTGCCATATTTCCTCAGGTGCCATCTACCTTTTGCCTTTTTTTATTTTGTGAGGCAGCGTTTCTCCCTGGCCTGGAGCTTGCCAACTAGTTTAGTGAGGCCCAGGGGTCCATCTTTCTCTGCCTACCCAGTACTGGGATTACAAGCGTGCCCCACCACACCTAGCCTTTCTTATATAGGGGGAGCAAACTCAGGTCCTTCTGCCTACAAAGCTTTACCAATTGAACTACCCCTCCAGTCTCCCTGTATTTTTGTACAGCACCAACAGTGATTACATTAGGGGAATAATGTATGGTTATAGGAATGATATCACTGTGCAGAGGGTTGAGTTATAATTGTGTGAGATTAGGGGCTAGGACTGTAGTTCAGGTGTAGAGAGCTTGTCTAATAAACTTGAAGCCCTGGGTTTGATCATCAATGCTGAAAAAAGAGTATAAACTTATAATGACTTCAACAGTAATCAGTGTCATGGGCTTCTAACTCTTTCCTGTTCATCTCTCCCAAGAACTGTCAGCACAACACTGCTGGGGAGCACTGTGAGCACTGCAAGGAGGGTCACTATGGAAATGCCATCCATGGGTCCTGTAGGGTCTGCCCCTGTCCTCATACCAACAGGTATGGTAGAAGGTAAAAAATAACCTATAGAGAGAGGAAGTCGTTTGACAGTTGCCCAGAAGTGAGGGTGGGTAGGGAGATAGTGGGAGAAGGGAAGTAACTGCTAAAGGGTTATGGGGTTGTTTTTTTGAGATGATGAACATGTTCTAATTTGACTGTAGTGATGGTTGTACAATTCCATGAGTAAATTCAGCCACTGTGTGCTGTATGTGGGTAAACTGTATAGTATGCAAATACTACCTCAAAGCTGATATAGTAAAAATAATTAATAATGCAACATGTAAAGGTGAAAACAAAAGCAATCATCAAACAGAAGCAGTCTTTCTAAATTGTATTCTTTTCCTTTTCTTTTTCTGTCTACTCAATGGCTTGCAATTATTTCCTGAGTACCCATTATGAGGCCAGGCCTCAGCCTAGCTTCATACTTGGGGAGCTGACATACAGTAAAGATGGTGGAATTTGATGTCCTGTGCCTTGCTTGGAATAGGTCAGGGGAGGAAAGAGTCATCACACTCAGGAAGTCCACGCAGAAATAGATATGAAGTAGAATTTCAGATAAGTATGAAAATTTTGAGCTGGAATGATGGGATTGATAGTGACTATTTTAGGAAGAGTAGCCAAAGAGTCATGGAGTTGTTAAGCAGGTAGGTGAATGATGAGAGACATAACCATGGCAATACCTTAGCCATAAGGTCCCAGAAAGGAAAGCCTTGTGACGATGGTGACGATGTGTTCACAGACAGGAGAGGCTGAAGTGCATTGAAGGAGAGAGTTAGCCAGCCAGGTCCCATTCTCGGATACACAATATGCCAACCACTAAAATGATGAGTTTTGTGACAGAGAAATGATTTATTCATGAGTCAGCCGAGCACAGAGACAGGCCACAGAGCAAGTCTCAAATTCTGCCTCCATGGGGGCAGGGTTTAGGAATATTTATAAAGAGGGACGACTTAAAGTGTGAAGAAGGCCAAAGGAGATACAGGGAGAAGCTCTCAGTCGTCTGTACACATGGACTTAATCGTCACAGGATGCGCATTCAGATCAGCTTTGGCATAATCGAAGGCCAGGATTTTCTGCCCTTGATGTCAAACATGTAACCCATTGGGCACTTCTATATGCCCAAGAGAGGAGTCAGTGGTTTCAACAAAGCATCCTTCAAGTCCCTGGAAAGTCACCTAGGCAATTATTATTAACACCTATGCCTCAGAGGTCTTACCTACAGCGAAGCTTCGGGGAATCTAATAATATGCCATCTGTGTGGTCTCCAGATTAATGATTTTGGAAATGAACTAAAAGCAAGTGAAGCTAGCGAGGTTAATCAGGTTTTCCACAGTGCCAAGTGGACTGGGAAAGAGGTTAGAGGGTCTAGTCAGGACTCAGGTCCCATTATATAACCTTGAAGACTACAGTCAAACATCTGGGTTTAATCCTGAGTGTGGTGGAAGTCTTGGTGCAGTTCTGAGCCCCTGAGTAATGAGAGCTCAGCTTTCCTTCAGGCCCTGTGTGGCTGACAGACTTCAGTAGAACAGTCACTATTTTAGTCTCATGGCAGCCCGGCAGCCCATGTTCTCTTTAGCACCTTGTTAAATTCTTATTCATCATGTTGTGTTCACCATGGGGTCCATGCAAAGAGTAACACAACAGACAGCTAAGTAAAGCAGTCTAGTGAAGGGTCTGAAAATCAAGGAGCCCTGGAACACAGGCTCAGAAATAAGAGCAGACTACCAAGGCAGGTTGGTGTCAGCCAGATATCAGAGGGACTGACCGGAACTGACCGTATCCTCTAGTTCTAGAAGTCATGTGCCCAAGTGCAGCTTTTCTGGAGATCTGTGTCTAAAGTATTTGCCTTCCCTATCTATGTGTTTGATCGCCTTCAGCCTGCCCTATCCTGCAGCATTATTTGTACAGGGATCTATCACTTCACGCCTGCCCAGACTTGCATGAACAGAACTGGCAGAAGAAGAAAGCAGCAAGATTTCCACTGGGGCATTCTGGGAACATTTTTCATTTTTTTCTTGAAGCGTATAGACTTCATCAAAGCCAGCCTCCAACTGTAATGCAGCTAGAGTAACACGTAGTTCCTCAGGTTTGTCAGTAGAACAATTTTATGTTGCTTTTTCCAGCAGTAGCAATACCACTGACAAATTTCATGTGGTCCCTATAGAGGCGGAGCTCTGCATCCATCTAATCAGATGAAGGAGGCGTCCCAAGGGTGAACTCTTAGTAGCCCGTGGTAAATAGGTCCATTTTCCCTCCTGTGTACATCTGTGTACTGTTCAGTGAACATAGACACTTTGTAACCCAACAGGGCTTTTTCTTGACTCCTTTGGGAACAAAATGATTTCTCAAATATGAGCCAATTTAGAACTAAAAGAAAAGGAATTGAAATTCCAGGACTTGATTTGAAAAAAAATGTAATGCCACCAAGGACCGTCCTGCAGAAACGCCCATGTGGGCAAGGGAGGTCTGTGTTCCCCACTGGGGCTTCCAAGGCCTGGCCTGTCTGCCAGCAGTGGGCTCAGTACAAGGAGAAAATGCTTTAAAGGAATCAGAATTTGCTGTTTTCTTGTCCTGCCTAGACTTGTACCTCTTTCTTGTTCCTGGCAAAATGCTGCTGTAATCATCTCTTCCAGAGTGAGTTACTTTGTCTCGAGGGAAGGAATGCTTTCCTCCAAGCCAGAAGGAAAACAAATGCCTTCAGCTCCTTTCCACCCTCTTCGCCTAGCATCAGCTGAGACCATCCATCATGTGCCCTGTAGAGTCCTGAGGGGCAACATTTTCTCTCCACAAAATTTCTTTACACAAAAGCTTCCTCACAGTGGGTGTCAATGTTCACTTCATGGAAGTCAGTCCTTTGTGATAAGAAATAGTGAGCCTGTGAGTTTATGATTTCAGTGCGGCCTTTTCTGTCTTCCTACAAGTTTCGCCACTGGCTGTGCTGTGAACGGGGGAAACGTGAGGTGTGCCTGCAAACCTGGATACACAGGAGCACAGTGTGAGAGGTAGGTACTGCCCTGTGTCCCTCTTGCCCACAGCACTCCCTTTTTGGGAACCCACAGGTGGGGTGCATTGAACCAGGTGCCACTGATGGGTTGGGGCTAGGGCACAGGTGGGATGCAATGCTGTTCCTTTCACAGAAGGCTGGAAAAGTACTTGGGGGAAAAATAGGATTGCTCACCTAGTTAACCAACAGCATCCTTCTCTTTCTTGTTCAAGTTTTAGAAACCTGAGAATGAAGTGTACACACACACACACACACACACACACACACACACACACACACAGCCCTGATGCTCACTCAACACATACCCCTATGCCCCATTGTGGCTCGCACATGTTCCTTCCCCATCTCTATATACCCTTCCTCCTATTCATCTCTAGCCCCCTTTGCCATAGCCCTGTGTGTTCTTTATATATGTCTTACCTTCTCCTACATGTCTATGTGTCCCTCCTCCGACATTCTTCAATATTCCCCTCAAATGTCTGTGCACACTCCTACGCCATGGAATCTCATTCCCACTCCCGCACACTCCCATCTCTGCATAGCCTTATCCCCTTATATCCTTTTCTATGCATTAAATAATTTCTTATACTTCTGTACACACACATATCCTTACACAGGCACACAATCCTCACAGTCTATGTTGAACACTAGATCCTTTGCCTTATTCATCTCCTAATCCTTGGTGCTTAGTGCAATACTGCTCACATTGTAGGTGTTTAGTGGTGCTTGTGAAGCACTTCATCACCATACAGGTTGTGGAAGGGGAAGTGTCCTAGAACTATACTTCAGTTACTCATGAGCTGATTTCATGAGTAACTTCTCTGAACTGTTATAGGTCAACAGATAAGGCAAAAGTTGACCCAAGTTTCAATAACCTTGAATATTCTCACATCACATCTCTCAATAATCAAAAGGGACACACATTGCCTGAAATGCACAAAGCATTTGGTTATTCTCCAGAACGACACTCAATGTGGGATGTTGATGCTTGGAGAGACACAGGCACTAGTCACAAAACAAGCCGAGTTAAATTGGGGTGCAGCTGCAGGGCCAGCCAGGGAAGGGAAGGAAGGGACAGCTATGTGAAGACAGGAAGGATGGGCAGAGTGGGAAATGAGGGCCTGAAAGGCATTCCAGGTTTTGTGACTTTAAATTTGGGGTCACACCTGGCAGAGGCACCCTAGTTTAAACCTCCTTATGGTTTTACACAAACAACAAAGCCAAACACAGCAACAGGCTTGGTGAGACCTCTGTTTATTTGGCAGGCAGCTGATCTGAAGAGAAATTAATTAACAGTTCTCTCAGCTATGCTACATCTGATGTTTCAAGAAAGTGAGCTATTGTTTCTTAAATTAAAAAAAAAGAAACCTTTTTCACAAGTGCCAGGTTGATGTCAACATTTTTCATTTGTTAAAAATGGATTGCACACCTAGGCATCATTCCTGGCCCTGGTTATTAAGTTTGGGATGACAAATAAAACAGTCGTGAGTGAATTTACTATATATAGAAGTCTAGTTGGGCTTGAGAAGAGTAGCTTGCCTAGGGTGGGTGTGGAAAGGTGCCTGGAACCTCCCATGCTTTGCTCACAGGGCCACAGATAGATGTGCTCCCTGTTCTTTGTTGTTGTAATGTCATCTGTGGAGCAGGAGATGTCACTTTGAACCATTGTCTTTAACCATCAAAGGTGAATAAGAGAACCAATTATTTCTTGAACAAGTAACTAATGCTTTGTAAGAGTAAGCAAGAAGAGGGATTAAATGTCCCAAATATTATAGACATATGAAAATAAAGTATCTGAGAACACAGATCTCCATAACAGAAGAATATGGGACTGGTCACTAGGTAAAGCCCCATTACTAATATTTTGCCACCTTGTTTAGTAGATTTTATTAAGCCACCTCTATCTAGTTGCCTTATTGATAGTTAGGGAAGAATACAGGAGTGATCTGCTTTCTTGTCTATTTTCTAAAATTCAGCGACTCTAAATGATACCACTTACAAAATGAACATTTCACCCTGCCTTGTAATCATGGCAGCCTTTTATTGAGTGACCGTTATTTACAAGCTGAGAGTCTTTACTAAATTATCTTTTATAATCATTGACCAAAGTGAGTGTTGTTAGTCATTCATTGATTCATCCATCCATCCAATCAATAGTTAATAGGTTTCTAATATATATACCAGGCACTCGTGTGGGAACTAGGGATACAGCAATGAGTGAAACTGGCAAGCACCTCGGTGTCTTTATGGAACTTATGTTTCCTTTTTTGTGAACATCACACGTGGGCATTGTCTTTGCATCGTTTCCATCCCTCCAGTCCCCTTCCAACTCCTCCCATGCCCTCCCACTCCCTCTCAATTCCTTCTCCTCTTCTTTATTGTTACATATACACATGTACATTTATAAATATACACACATATGTCAGCTGGTTTTGCCGTTATGCACATCTTGTCAGACTACCACACTGTGGAGATTTCATTGATGTGGCTTCCCTCTTGTGTCTAAAATGCCTTAAGCATCAGCAGGTGTCTCGTCCCTCTGGCTCTTACATTCTTTCTGCTGCCTCTTCTGTGATGTTCCCTGATCTAGAACTTATGTTGTCATGAAGGGAACTTATAGATAAACTGAAGTTCAAAGAATTATGACAGCAGCCCAAGGAGTCAAGGGTCCAGCCAAGAGTTTTTGGCCCAGAATCCATAGTTTGTATAATGTATCACCACATCACCTGGGTACTTTTGGGAACATAGGCTGAAAGTGGCTGTTTTGAAAGGTTAAAACTTAAATTTTGGGTAAAGAGTTACCATGTTTCCTTGAGTCTATCAATTCCATTGTGATAAGACACCATCTACCAATTTCCTGAAAATTCAGGCCTTGTTATAAGGAATGAAACTTTGATAACTGGAAACATTTTAATTGACTTCCCAATATCAGAAATATTAACATATGTTAGTTTTATTTTTCTTAAAAAATGAATTTAAGAATCAAAGGCATGTGATCTTTGAATTTTTAAGTTAGGAGCTGAGTTCTCACCACAACATTAACTAAAATAATAACATACAAAGCCAGAGGCAGCAGCTGCAACTTCTCCGGTTTTCATCCCCCCGGTTGGAATTAGTTTAAATATGAATCACAGAGTCTTCAAATCACACATCAGGATCTATGAAGAACGTTTTCCCTCATGGCAAAGTTTGAAATTCGTCGCTCCTATTCTCAACATATTTCTCTAACTTAGCTCTAAGTTCAGCAATATTTATGGGCTATCTTCAAGATCTTAACTCTTACGTAAAATCCACCCAGCCCTGACCTTCATATTGATGAAACCATTTGATCCTTGTGAATTTTGTTCCTCTGCCTTTCAGCTCCCTGGGTATTTGAGCATTTGATAGATCCGGGAATGTGTAAGAAAAGGACCAGTCCCTTTCTGTCTTCTACTCTCACCAGCCTCATTCAAGGTGTAATAGCCCTGTGCTAGAAGCATTCATTCTTATCAATCTGTGTTACCTTTCCTATCATAGAGTCACAATGTCTCAAATAGGGAGCAAGAGGGCAGGAAATTTTGGTGGGGTAAATGATGAGTTATTTGAATGTTTCTCTTCTCATCTGTTCTTTATTTTGTGTAGGTGTGCACCAGGATATTTTGGGAATCCCCAGAAATTTGGAGGTAGCTGCCAACCATGCAACTGTAACACCAATGGCCAGTTGGGTACTTGTGACCCCCTAACTGGAGGTAAGATCAGCACTGCTGACCTACACTTAGAAAATTGATATGTCTAACAACCCAGCATAGATTTTTCAGGAAACACAGTACAAAACTCTAGTGAACAAATTGCCCCTTCCTTTCATAGTCCTGGGAATGCTTAGGTAATACTGATGAATTTGGGAGAATGAATTAATTCAATAAATTTATTTTTAAGTAAATGATTTTATAAAAACACAATAAATTATAACTGAAATAACTACAGATGTACCACAGTGATTTTGCTAAGATTTCCCTTTGATTTGTAGGATTATTTTTATATTCAGTCTCTTATGTGAATCTGAAGTCCAAGTGTTCTTTCTCTCATAATTATGCATACTTTGAAATATGGACAAGTGATTGGCATGGATATCATGTGCCATGGGAAAGATTAATGTGAAGAGTTGGTATCAATTACTTTGGAACAATTTGGAACAAAACAGGGGAATATTCATTTCATTCTTTGAGGAAAAATGTTAATGTGACATTTGGTGTACCCTGTCACTTAGATAAAACCTCTCTTCTCATAGTTATGGACAAGTCAAAGAACTAAACCAGAAATGTGCAGATTAGTGCTGATCAAGCAGCCATTTCCAAAGCAAGGCAGAATAAATGGATAAACACCAGCCTGGAAAGGGATATCTATTATCCTGCCACAGAACTTAATTTTGGGCTCCATCTTGTTTAGGATTTTTGGCAGTGATGGAAATTTAAAAGACATGCCTACCTAGTTATCATATAACATAGTTGGAAAGGTTAGCAGCTATTTCCTATGATACATTTAAAACACTAAAAAGAGTCCTGACTCAGTTAGTAATGTGGCTCAGTTATGCTTGCCTAGCATGCATAAAGCCTGCCTTGCATTACATCCACAGCACCCCACAGACTAAGCACGGCCTGTAATCCCAGCCATGTAATCCACTGGGGAGTTGGTGGCCAGAGAATCAGAAAGAAATCCAAGGCCATCTTCAACTATGTAACAAGTATGAAGCCAGCCTGGGCTACATGCAACCTGTTCTAGTTTACTTTCAATTGCTGTGACAAAACACTCTGACCAATATCAACTTGGGGAGGAAAGGGTTTATTTTATCTTAGATCTCCTGGGTCCCAATTCATTACTGAGGGAACCCAGGGTAGGAATTCAGGGCAGGAACCTGGAGCACAGGAGGAACACTGCTTACTGGCTTGGTCCCCTGGCCCGTGCTCAGCCTGCTTTCTTTATATGATACCCGCAGTGGGCTGGGTTCTCCGGCATCACTCAACAATCAAGAAAATGCCCCACAGACATGGGCACAGGCCAGACCAATGGAGGCAATTCCCCAGTTGAGGCCCCCTCTGCCCAGGTGTGTCAAGTTGACAACTAAAACCATCCAACACAAGACCTTACATTAAAAAAAAAGAGTTGGGATACTTGTTTGCTTGGAGTTTTGCTGTAATAAAGTTGGACTATTTTTCAGAGGGAAGCAAGAGGGCATTTTAGCATAAGAATTCAGAACATGGAGGAAAGAGTAACCATGAAATAAGTAAAGAAGCTCCAGGGAGTTGCACCATGGCAGTGTGGACCAATAATACCGTGTGTCTTCCTCTGTCCCAGCATCTATCACACTGTTCTGTCATTGGTCTGTTTCTCCCAGGGGACTGCTGAACCACAGCACAGCAGGGGTCTCTGTACCTAACAGAGGACCATGCCACACAGTGAATGTTCAGAAATAGTGAACATCAGCTCAGTGATGCTTGAACAATACAGAATAAGCTTGAATTGCAGCAGAGCCAATCCAAAGAGGAAGAGGAAAACCTTATCAGTGCTGACTAGGAGTTTAATTAGATAAGGAACATGTACTGGCCTGGTGGTAGAACTGTAATTCCAGTAATTTTAGCTACTTGGAAGGTAGAGACAGGAGGTTCAAAAGTTCAAGGCCTGTCTTGGCTACAGAGTGGGTTCAAGGCTGACTTGCATAACTCAGTAAGACCCTGTTTTTAAAAAGTAACAGGGGTTGGAAAGATGGCTCAGTGATTAAGAGCATTTGCATCTATTGTAGAGGACCTGCATTCAGTTCCTACCCCCAACGTCAGGCAGCTCACAACCACCAGCTCCAAGTGATCTACCATGTGCCCTCTTTGGGCCTCCACTGGCCTGGGCATGCATGACATATGCACACACAAACATGCACATAAATGAAAGTAAAAATAAAATTTTTAAAAAGTAAGAAACGGGCTGAAAATGTAGCTCAGCGATAGAGTGCTTGCCTCGGTGGTAGTGTGAGGCCCTGGGTTCATCCTCCAGTACAAAAAAGAAAGTCATGTCACTCCAGGGAGACCACCCTTCTTAGAGAAGAAATGGAATATGTAATGCAAGAGGCCATCAAGGAAGTTCTGGCAGCTGGCAACAGCCTGGGGCAAGGTGGGAAAAAAGGGCCGGTGATGCTTGGTGATCGCGTGGCTAAAATCTTCCAAAGTGAGCTTTTCTGAAAACCATGGTAAAAGGCAGGTGAAGAACAACTTCAATGGTGATATCGTCATTGGTTTGTGATTTCCTTTCTCCCGATTTTAGACTGTGTAAATCAAGAACCCAAAGATGGCAGCCCTGCAGAAGAATGTGATGGTGAGAAAAGAAAGTCATCTCTGCCTTTCCCAAGTGGGGTTTAGTTTAGGATACATGCACCCCATGCTGTGACAGGTGCTTTCTAGTCTGGGAAAGTAATAGTTGGAGGACACAGAAGGACACTATAGGTTCACCTCCTGCCTCTGTCAGTACTAGCTGTCTACGTTCAACAGGCCCTTAACCTCTCCAAGCCTCAGTTTCATGTATAGGATGAACACAGTACCCCTACCTCATACAGCTTTTATTTTGGAGGGGGGTGCAAATGCTGGAGGTGTGACATCCCTTAACATAATACCTAATCAGCTGGGTATAATGGCACATGTGTGTAATCTCATCACTTGGGAGCTTGAGGCACAAAGATCACTAGATTGAGGCATCTTGGACTACATAGTGAGACCCTTCCTCAACAAACAAGCATAGTCAATAGCAGAATCTCCATAAACAAAAGCTGTTCACTATTATTTTCTCCACATGCATAATAAATAGTAGGTTGAACAGAGTTACCATTTCTATGAAAATTCTCCTGCACATCAGGTTCTCCTTTCTTCAGAGTCTGCATCCCTCCCTGAGCTGTCTAGGACTATGATGATCCCAGTACGCGAGAACAGGCTGTACAGACCTTGTGTTTTCTGTGCCTTCTCTGGGCTCCATATCACAGCATCCTCACCTTTCACTGTGGCCCCTGCAGATTGCGACAGCTGTGTGATGACACTCTTGAATGATTTGGCCACCATGGGTGAGGAACTGCGCCTAATGAAGACAAAGCTGGAGAGGCTGAGTGTGAACACTGGCGCTCTGCAACAGATTCAGCACATGGAGACCCAGGCCAAGGACCTGAGGGTAAGTCTTGAGGGAAGGGTGGACTAGATACTCGGTGAGCAAGGTTGTGCCTTTGTTTCTATTGGGGAATCAGTTCCAGGACCCGCTACAGATACCCAAACCAGCAGATGTTCAAGTCCTCTGTACAAAATGACCTCGCATTTACTTAAGACCTATGCACTCTCTCCTGTATATTTAAATATACTATGTTACTTATAATTCCAAATGCAGTGTAAATGCCATGCACATAGCTGGTATGTGTACTATGTAAGGAGTAATGACAAGGGAAAAAAAGTCTCTACATGTTCAGTACAAATGCAAATTTTTAAAAAAGTTTTTTTGACCCTTGACTGAATCCATGAACACAGAACTAGGGATGCAGAGGGCTGACCTTAGATGCTGCATGAGCGAATTTTCGTCGAACAGGAATGGGAGCTAGTCAGCTCCACAGAAAACTCCAGGAACTTCCCTCTTCCCTGACCCAAACGAAGAATCGATTTTTACTGGTGGGAAGTGCTCACAAGCACACGGAACTAATATTGTAAGATCAAGCTCACTGCTTACTGGATGCCCCCGGCCTCCTTTTCTCCTAGTGCCTTCAGCTCAGTGTCTTGCGTTCAGAATATTAAAACACAGGCATATGTCAAATAATTATAATTCCTCTTTAAATGGGTGTTAGAATTTTCTAAAGAAGTTATGTGAGCCTGGGTTCTTCTTAGAAATTTTTCCTTTAATAAACAGCATATTAAAATTTTTGATTAGATTTGACTATTTAGCTTATTTATTTCTTCTTAAGAGTCAGTAGTAAGTGCCTTTCAAATAATGTGTCCGTTCCAACTAAGTGACCAAGTGCATCAACACAAAATTGATCATAATGTTCTTTGCTATTCTTTCAGTATCTATAAAAGCGGCAATGATGCCCTCTCATTCCCAGTATTGATATTTTAGACCTTATCTTTTTCTCTTGATTGTAATAGCAGACATGTATCAGCTTCATTAATTTTTGTATTTCATTGGTTCCCACCCCCCGATTTCTACTCTTTTCCATACATTTTTCTTCTACTTTCTGTGGAATAACTTGCTATTCATTTTCTAGTTTCTTGAGATGAAAGCATTTTTACTAACTCGAAACTTTTCTTGTTTCTAGCATAAGCATTTAATGGAACTCTTCCCTTAAAATGTTGTTTTTGCTAAATCCCACAGATTTTGCAATGTTATATTTTCATTTTCATTCTATTTCAAAGATTGTCCAGTTTCTCTGTGACATATGAATAACCCATGAGTGATTTTGAAGTATGTTCTTTAATTTGCAAATTGGAGATTTCTTCCAAAGACTTTCTAGTACAGATTTCTAATTTAACTCTGTGTGGTCAGAGAGCAAACAGACTGCATGATATCAATGTTATTAAATGTGTTGAGGTTTGTTCCAGAGCTGAGAATATGGTCCATATTGGTCACTGTTCCCTGTATCCTTGGAAAGAAGAACGATTAGGAGGGTATACTGTGAAATGATAGGACCACAGGGCTTGAGGCAGGTTCTCAGGGGGATGTTGAGGGCGACTCTGTCCATTAATGAAAACACAACCTTGAAACTGCCTAGTGCTCATTGCCAGGAATGTCCACATAAGAATGGGGGAAAGCCATGGGAATCCCAGCATTTTGATGGGGGCCTGGACAAATCCACAAACCTAGATCTGTGCTGGCAAGTGACATTCTCGATGTCACCACAGTGAATAAGTCCTGAGCTGCTAATGTAAGACATGGCCCTGGACTCAGAGGACATAAGTGCCAAGGTGGGGACTGGGATAGTTATGAGGTCACTAGAGATGGTGAGGAGTGAGGGGAAAGGAGAAAGTTCCCAGTGAGTGAGCCAGCAAACATTTCAACAGACATGTTAACAATAAGAAAGCATTCACTGAAGCAACACTTAAGTGGTGAGGGCACTTTAGAGAAATGAAAATAATAGGTCAGTCGTAAAACTTAAAAGAATAGAATCAAATAGAAGGAATGAGAAATGAAGAAACTGAGAAAAACCTTCCAGAAGTCAAGCAGTAGAAAGTTAAAATCACAGAAATGGAACAAGAATGCTTATGGAAGTACAAGAAATTCGTAGACGAGGCAACACCACGGGTAGATGCACTGAAAGATTTGCGGTAAATTTTCTAAGTGCTTTCGAGATGAGAGCTGATGCTAGTGGCTAGATCTGATTTTATGTAGCTAGAAGTAATTCTAGAGGAATGTCCCTTTTTCATCGCTTGGGGGATTTTACTCTATACTTTATAGTCTTAATATAGAGGAGAAAGAAAAAAATAGCCTTTATGTTGCAGGAAGAAAGGAAGCAGCGTGAATTACTTTGATTTATCTGGTGCAGCCCCACTTCACTTCTCTGCACAGACACTATGTGCCAGGCTCTGTTCTCACACAAGTTCTGTATAAGACAAAATATGTTATTTTCATTCAGCAGACATGAAGAAGCTAAGGAATGACAACTTGCCAAAAAGCACTCATCTAGAATATGGAAGTTCTTTCTAGAATCCAAATCAAGACCCAAATCTAAAGACAATGCCTCCATCCCTCCACTGATTTCTACCTAGTGATGCTCCCCAGCTTTCCTATCATAAAATTACAATGAACTATCTTTTCTGTCTTATAAACTTGTGACAATTCAGTAAGAATGAACTAACATTTTTGAGTGCCCATGTATATATCATACATGATGGTTTAGAATAGACCCGCTAATAGTGCACTTACCTAACCCCCAAAACCAGCCCCACAGCTTAATATTATAATCCCCCCATATTCAGATGAAGGAGGTAAAGTCTGGTGAGGCTCATCTGTTTACTAAGTTGTAGGCTTATACCCTCAAGCATTCTTTAACTCAGCACTGACCCTGACATAAAATCAGAGGCAACAGTATCATTTTTTCTTGTCATTTTTTTCAAGATATTGTATTTCACCTCTGAAAACTAAAATCCTTATTCTAGATATTTCTTGTAGTAATTTCATCCTTTTACAATAAGGAGGCAATTCAGTAATGAAAGAAAAATAAGGGACTTGGATTATGACCCGAATTAATCACTGATCAGCTTTGTGGCCTTAGACAAGTTGCCCAATTTCCTTCAGAATTTCAGTTTCTCATTTGGATATGAGGGTCTTGAACTATAGAAGCTCTGAATTCCTCTACAGTTAGGAAAGACTAGAGTCTTTAAATATAGTGGTTCTCAATTCAAGTATCCATATATACTACTACCTGTAATATCAGAATAGCTGTAAATTTGAAAAAACTAAATATATTCTAGAATCTGGATCAATATATTGAGTATGTAAATATTTTATTCAGATGCTTAGGTCATTAATTCAAGTAAAACTATCTCTTGTCTTTTCATGGTTTTCATATGTTCTCTAGTTTGAATCTTAACAGTCCCTGCAAAAGCTTAGGCACCGAAGGTTGTTCCTTAGAGTATGAATTTTGAGAGATGGTAAGAAATTTAAGAGGTGGGACCCAAGATATTTCTAGGGTACAGGATACATGCTCTCAAAGGGGATTGTAGGACCCCAGCCCCTTTCTCTATGTTTCATTCCATGACTTGCCTTGAGAGACTTTGTTCCTCCATGTGCCCCTCCATGATACCCTGCCCTCCCACAGGCCCAAGCAGCCAAATGATCAGATCTGAGACCTCAAAAACTGTGAGCGCAAAGAACCCTTTTCTCTTTGTCAGCTGTTATCATAATTTACTATGATAAATTTATTATAGTGCTTACAAAAAGCTACCTATACACATACTTTTAGAACCATATCATCATTAACATCAGAAAGCAGATTTTTCTTATAAATCCCATGTTTTTCTTGGAAAGCGGGCATTGGTTTTATTGAATGAGTCAGTTCATTACCACACAGCAGGATAGTAACTGTTTGCTCCAAAGTGGGATTTGGCCTTGTGCTTTCCTTTCAGAATCAGTTGCTCAACTACCGATCTGCCATCTCAAGCCACGGATCAAAAGTGGATGGACTGGAAAAAGACCTGAGTCATTTGAACCATGAATTCGAAACTTTGCAAGAAAAGGTGGTGTTTTTGGTTAATTACCTGACCTTTTGTTTCCAGAATATTTTTAGTTTTATTTTGACCACTAATCTAATTTACTAGTAATGTTTTATTTTTCATTTAGGCTCAAATAAATTCCAGAAAAGCACAAACATTATATAACAATGTTGATCGCACAATCCAAAGTGCAAAAGAATTGGACACAAAGATTAAAACCGTCATCCGGAATGTGCACAGTAAGACAAGTGGTTCAACCCCATTAAAAAGTTCTTTTGACATAGATAAATATTTTCCTTTTGCGAGTTCAACATTATGAAAAGGATTACAGTGATATTTAAAGCTGAATATGAAACCTCCACAAAGGGTCTAGTCTTTTAAAAAGTAGTTCACCATGGGGCTGGAGAGATGGCTCAGCGGTTAAGAGCACAGACTGCTCTTGCAGAGGACCTGGGTTCAATTCCCAGCACCCACATGGCAGCTACGAACCATCTTTGACTCCAGTTCCAAGGGAATCTGACACCCTTTTCTGACCCCCATGGCATTGCGTGACATGGGTACGCTCACATACATGCAGGCAACACACTCATGCACATAAAATAAAAATAATAAACATATTTTTTTAAAAAGTAGTTCATCAGGACCCAGAATCCCCAATCTAATAAGATGCTTGGTGTTTTCCAGTTCTCCTGAAGCAGATCTCTAGGCCAGATGGAGAAGGAAACGACTTGCCCTTGGGTGACTGGTCCAAGGAGCTGGCGGAAGCCCACCGCATGATAAGGGTGCTGCGGGACAGAGACTTCAGAAAGCAGCTGACAGAAGCAGAAGCTGCGAAAACAGAGGCCCAGCTCTGTAAGGACCAACCAGATTCTTGCATCCACTCCATTGTCCACTCTAGTCAGTTTGAAATACCATGTGCAAAGTACAATCTAGAGCTCCCAGTTACAGGCCGTGGGAGACAGTCATTTCTCCAAATTTCCAAGAGGCTTTAGAATATAGTATCTTACCATTTTTCAAAACTAACTACCAAAAAATTCCCCCAGAAGTCAAATATTTGTGTTTTACCTTATTATTTTTCTTGAGACAAGGTCTCACTCTATAGAACTCAGGCTGGTCTGAAACATACTATATAGCTAAACTCACTGCTGTGGTCCTCTTGCCTTAGGCATGAGCTGCCATGTCTGACTCTATTTTATCTATGTATTCCTCCTTCTGCAGTTATTTACCCTTCAACATTTTCTCATAATATCATTCTTGATTTCCTCCCCTTTGGAGATAGTAGCTCACTACGTAGTCTAGGCTGGCCTTGAGTGTACAATCCTACTGCCTCAACAACCCAGGTTCTGTGAGCACAGGCATTCACTGCCATGCCTACTTTCATTAAACCCTTTTCTAATGATCACTTCACCACTATTGGATTTTGGAATCATGGATTGACGTTAGCACTACTATTATAAAAACAAAACCAACCCCCTCCCCCATAGCCTAGTCGTTTGCTGAATATATCTGATTTTAAGTAGGGAAATGTCTCACTGGGTCAAAACAGAGATGTTAATTTGTACTGATATGCATTCTCCTGTAAAACGACATGTCTAGGGCTCATAGGCAGGTAGCAGTGGTCCTGTAATATTTGTAACACTCAACATTAGGCTTTGCTTTTGACTGTACAGTGGCAGCTTTAGAAATAGGAGTCTACGTTTTCTATTCTGCAGCTCTGGTCCTAAACCTGAGGTCATGTACCTTAAGTCTGTCCTCTTATCAATAGCGTGAGACCGACAGCTACCACTTTTGTGTGCTTTTCATGGAAGCCAAAAGAGGCAGTGCATGAATGCACATGATAGGTCTACGTGAATGGTGGTTTCCCTTCCTGTTCCCTCCAAAGTTGGAGGAAAATTACGAAATGATCAGGAACTCATTTCCCTCATGTCCCTAATCGTAAGAACCTAGCTTCAATCTGTTCCTCTCTCAAGTGGAAAATATGATATGATGTGTTTCAGTGCTGAACCGAATTAGGACCTGGCTGGAGACCCACCAGGTAGAGAACAACGGACTAGTTAAGAATATTCGGGATGCTTTAAATGATTATGAAGCCAAACTTCAGCACCTGCGTGCTGCCCTCCAGGAGGCAGCTACTCAGACAAAGCAGGCCACTGGCCTCAACCATGAAAATGAGAGAGCCCTGGGTGCCATTCAGGTGAGTTCACAGTCAGAACCTTACGCTTTAATTAATGGCAGGGCCGAGGGGCACACAGATGTTTGTTACTAATAGAGAGGCTAGGTGGCTGTCTGGTTATTCCAATAGGAATGAGGTCTTAAATACAAAACCAGAGTTGTTTCTGCTCCACTGCTACCACATTCTACACTTAAACTATGAGCAAAGCCTCAGAAACTGTCTCAGCCTGTGTCTGGCTAATAAAGTACTGGAGGAATGATGTTACTGAGTAGATGAAACACTCATCATGTTAGAGCCAATTCAGTGTGTGTTTCATATGTTTTCAATGAGATTTTGTGTAAGATATCATCATAATCTCCAACACAGACCACCTAAGCCATTACCTTCCTGCTTTATAGGAAAGAGGTTGAGAATTTACAGCTCAAGATTGCAATGTGCATGTGTGCGCGTGTGTGTGTGTGTGCGTGTGTGTATGCGTGTGTGTGTGTGTGTGTGTGTATGGATAGATGGATGGATGGATGAATAGATGGATGGATAGATATTCTCTTTGATATTCTTGGGAATCAGATACAAGGCCTCAGTCTAGGCAAATGTTCTGACACCAAGCCAACAGTTGCCCCAGCCCAGGAGTTTTTATTTTTTATGGTGAATATACCATATCAAAACAACAGCAAAAACAACAAATAACATGACAGATTATAAAATGACAGATAAGAATTGAATAACATAGGATTGGCTTCCAAAGAAGAGGAATTTGGTCAGTAAAAATCAGTAGCTAGGTACTGAGCTCCCAGTGCTTTCTAGATAATAAAACATCTGTTTGAATCACTGATTGGGCCAGGGAAGAAGGCAGTCTCCAGAGGTAGGAGTCCTGAGCTTTGGTAACCTTCTCTCCTGGTACATTCCTCTTCTGTATCATCCCCGATCCAAGTGCCTGCTACATCTTCATTGGGATCGGCGTCCAGAGGGATGGTTGGCCTTGCTTTACTGAGTTAAAATCTTATATTCTGTTTTCCAAATGAGAGATTAGTAACAAGTCCATCTCACTGGTTGAGTTGGCCTGGTGTATAAAACTTCCTTAAACATGGTAGCGTCTGCCTCATCAGCACGCCATTTGAGGGTACTGTGATGACACAGCAACAGGTCAGAGAGAGCCAAGGTTCCATCACTTGTAGTGGCCTAGGCTATTGTCAGATTCAAGAAAGCATTTTGACTCTGACTTCCTTGCTGTGGTCGCATAAATATGTGTGTGCGTTCTGATGTGTCATGGAATGTATGTGGGCATGCTTTTCTCTTTCCAGAGACAAATGAAAGAAATGAATTCCCTGAAGAATGATTTCACCAAGTACCTGGCATCTGCAGACTCTTCCTTGCTGCAGACCAACAACCTGCTGCAGCAGATGGACAAAAGCCAGAAGGTAGAAGAGACTGCCGGTTCTCCAGAAAAACCCAAAGCAGTCAGATTATATTGCCAGGAGACCTGTGCGATAGGCTAGCTTACTTGTTTCTAATTTGAGTATATGCCATTTAGCTGGAAGTGCATAGCCCTGAGCAGTAACTGTGGTTTTGCTGGGGGGAGATGTATGGACGATGAGGCTTCTTTAAGTCTGTTTGCATTACCTGTTCTGTCTGCAGTAAACACATCACTTTTGTGGTAACAAAAAAGAATCAATGCAATTTTTAAAATATCAAGAATATATTTCTTAACAGAAGACATTTAAGACTTGATAAAAGATCAACAACTTCTTATCAGCCTTGGGGGGGGCATTTGGAAATAATCTTTTATAATAGCAAGTCTGTAATATATATAAAAGTCTTTTGGTTTAGCAGAACTCTACCTTGATGATGATTATGATGATGATGATGATGATGATGATGATGATATGGTTCTATAGAACTTAGTAAAGGGGGTGCCCATCAGAAAGAAAAAAATCCAAGATGGTGGCAAAACTTGGGGGAGTATTGCCAATTTCACCAAAATAGCTAAGGATATGTTGGTGTGGTAAATGGGCTTAGAAAATATAAATCAACCTTGATGGAAACATCATTTGTGAGAGAGTTTGAGAGAATGACATATACATCCATGGCTTGAATTTATAGTGTCTTTGTTTACTTGGAAAAAATAGGAATATGAAAACTTGGCTGCTGCTTTAAATGGAGCAAGACAGGAACTAAGTGACAAAGTACGAGAACTCTCCAAATCTGCCGGCAAAACAGCCCTGGTGGTGGAGGCAGAGAAGCATGCAAAGTCTTTACAGGAGCTTGCCAAGCAGCTGGAAGAGTGAGTGCCTGGGCTGTGGAGGTCCAAATATCACAGAGCAGGTGGAGGGCAGGGTCAAGGTCAAAGCCCGGTTCAGGACCCATGGACCAGTTCAGAACCAGACTTGCAGTGGGGAGTTGATTCCCAGCTGAATCTCTGGGGCAGAACAGCTGAGCTCACAGCGTCTGATGTTTACTTGGGAGCACAACTGTCCTAAGCAGGGAAAGATGCTGGACGGCTTAACCCCAGCCCATACCATCTTCCAGGATAAAGAGAAATGCCAGCGGAGATGAGCTGGTGCGCTGTGCTGTGGATGCTGCCACCGCCTATGAGAACATCCTCAGTGCCATCAAGGCTGCAGAGGATGCAGCCAACAAGGCCACCAGTGCCTCTGAGTCTGCCCTCCAGGTGGGTACCCAGAGTGAGCTGCAGCTTTTCTGAATTGCTCATTTTCTTACTCTATTCTACACTCATGCAGCAACAGTAAAAGGCACTATTCTTTTAAAATCGAAGCTTGTTATATGTAGTGGACTTGAACTCGCTCTAGATGGGCATTTCTGTATTCATTATTTGATGTCTGGAACACAGTTTAAAATTCATTTGTATAACCAGATAGAAACTATACCAGTTGTTCATTTTGAACATAAACAAATAATGTATCCTGCCTCTATCAGGAATGGTCTTATGCTACATTTAATAATTAATGTTTATCAAAAGGAAGAGATTTTTGGAAGCAATTTGGTGATTGCTTCTTCCAGTCATTTGGTCTTATGCATGAGCGTGTCTCTGAAGGCTTGTGGGACCTTATTTAAGACATCTAATAGTCCCAAATCTGAGAAATGGGGGGCAAAATATTAAATTTCAGAGTTTAAACATTCTTAAGATATTGAAGACTTTTAGATTCCAAAGCTTGAAAACCTCGAAGCAGCTAAATTATTGCAGGGGAATTGTATAATTAGCCACTATGTCACCAGAAATGGGCCCACCTCCCCAAGCCACAGATGCCTGTCTATCTAGAACCTAATGGTATTATTTAAAGGACAGTGTGTATTTAACCCCTTTATTCCGTTCAAACTTCATTCCTTAAATATTAAAGACAAAAAGCTTTAGGACTAAGGTGAAAAAACTTCCTCTTATTTCACAGGGTGTAGTGTGTGCTTAGGGCTGATAAATGCTTTGCTTCCAGACAGTGATAAAGGAAGATCTTCCTAGAAGAGCTAAGACCCTGAGCTCTGACAGTGATGAACTGCTGAACGAAGCCAAGATAACACAGAAGAAGCTACAGCAAGGTATTGGTGCCGGGGCAGCGCAAACAGTCAGGGGCTTTAACCAACGCACAGGAGCAGCAGGGCAGACGGATGCAAAAGCTCATTTTGAATTCGTGTTGATGCAAAGAATACCATTTCTATTCATGATTTATTGATATCCTGTATCCACTCAATATCCTAAATATCCCCCATCCATCCTATATGAACTTGACTTGGGTTTTATACAGATGAAGTTTTGAAAGTGATA